AAATATTGAGGGAGGTCAGTAAAATATGTTCATCATCTTTCACTCGAAAACCTGATTTGAAAGTTCACGACAGGATTCATACGGGACAAAAACCATTTCAATGCACACTCTGTTCAAAGTCTTTCACTCGAAATAATAGTTTGAAAGTTCACGAAAGGAGCCATACTGGAGAGAAGCCATTCATGTGTACAGTCTGTTCAAAATCTTTCACGCGAAATAGTACTCTGAAAGTTCACATAAGGAGCCATACTACCGTTGAATAATTAGTTCGTTGAGGTCTGTATTATTTCTAAAAAGTTAATTGAGTTGATGTAAATAAACTTTAGTTTGTACACTGTTTTTTTTAAATTAAGTATATCAATTTCAGTTTTATTTTGCATTTTCTTCTCTTCTTTTATGTAGGGAGACCTTTAGAAACTTCGATATTATTTATAATTGACTGATAAAATCTGTTTTTTCGTCAAACATCTGTCAATCGTCTACGATCGGCAACCCTCAGAAATCGCAAATTGTGCGAGCTAAATACTAGTTCTGAGCACTAGATGCATACATTACTCGAAACATTCTTAGATTGCATGTGATACGATTTCATAAGTCACTTGACATTTTTCTTTGTACAGGAGTTCACGCACTATTCTATTCAGAGTTCGTTGGACTTGGCTTATTGTCTGAATTCATTGATTGCATTATCGTGTAAGCATTATTCAATGGCTTCACTAGTCTAGATACCAAACTAGACAATAATTTTAACTCATCTGTCCATAAGTGCAATGATGATGAGAGAAATCAAATCGAAATCGCGACCCTACAATGAATTCACATAAGTTTTATAAAAGTTATATTTCTTATGGGGGCACACGAAAAAAGTTATACAGGTACACGGGTACATTGAACGTACCTGATATTCAATAACTTTATTTTCTTTTGAAAAATGCTTTGTGAATTTCATCAATGAATTGAGATATTCAGGTTTTGAACACGGAAAAAAATTGTTTTCCGAAACCTCAGCCACTTAAGGAAGCTAAGTATCAATATTTAATTTTTCCAATTGATTTCTTCAATTTGTACTTAGGTAGTGCAGTGCCTGGAGCATTCAAAACCGTAAAACCTCGGATTAGAGATATAGTGAATGAATTAATATGATCGATGTGGGATATTTAATATTCAAATTTCTACTTGTTTGGTACATTAAGAATCAGAAACTAGCAAAGTTGTCCAACGAACTCTACTGCCTAGAGTGGGTATTTAATGTAGCACTGACTACGTTACAAGTCATACTAGAGAAAAACCGTTTCAGTGTAAAATATGTTCGGAACTTTCCACTCTAAATAGTAGTTTGAAGGTTCACGAACGAATTCACACAGGAAAAAAAAACGTTTCAGTGTAAAATAAATTTGGGAGCTTTCATGCATAGTAATACACTGAAAATTCATAACAAAATCACACTGGAGAAAAATCATTTCAATGTACAATCTGTTCAAAATCTTTCGCTCAAAAAACTCATTTGACAGTTCATGAGAGGAATCATACTGGAGATCAACCATTTCAATGTAAAATATTTCATTCGAAATGATAGTTTGAGAGTTCACGAAAGGAGTCAAATAGGAAAGAAACCATTTGTGTGTACTATATGTTCAAAATCTTTCACGGAAAGTAGTAAGTACCCTGAGAGCTCACAAACGCAAGTCATATTACAGCAAGCGCCATACATGATGACGAGCCCGTTCCCATGCGCTTAAACTCATTTTCAAAAAATAACCTCCAGTACAGCTCTTATAAGACATACAAATGCTCTGTACAGAGCCGAATCGTTACTTGTCCCCCAATCCTGTTGGCGTTTGGGATTGTANTCAGTGTAATGATGGTTTCATTGGTTATTTCGACACACATGACTAGAAATAGACAAATTTGATAGGATAATTTTTTTGGCAAAAAATTTTCAATCTAATCACTTACCAAACTAAGCAATACAAAAGATTGTGTATGAGGATGACGTGATCGACCATATTCGCGATCACGACATGACTCCAGATGTCAAGTTGCTGCAAAGTGATGCCTGGAAAGTCCAGGAGCGGATACATAGGTAGTGAAGAAAGTTCGTTGGAATGTGTTATAAACTTTTCATTCAACGTCATAATTTGAAAATTCACGAAGAAAGTCATACTGAAAAAAATAATTCCAATGTAAAATCTGTTCAAAATCTTTCAATCGATTCGTCTATTTGAAAGACGGTCAATCGTTGTATTTTTGTAAATATATGTATACATTGTTAAAAATTTATGGTTTGCTTGCTTACCTGATAGCAGAAGGAAGTTTTCATTTCTATTTTCACAATGGTATTTTGTATTTTTTTCCATCAGTAAAAAAAATGCTGGCGCCTAGCCATACAAATATTTAATATTCAAATTTCTACTTGTTTGATACATTAAAACCGTTTCAGTGTAAAATATGTTCGAAACTTTTCACTCAAAATAGTAGTTTGAAGGTTCACGAACGAATTCACACAGGAAAAAAAAAACGTTTCAGTGTAGAATATATTTGAGAGCTTTCATGCAAGGTAATACACTGAAAATTTATGAACGAAATCACACTGAAGAAAAATCATTTCAATGTACAATCTGTTCAAAATCTTTCGCTCAAAAAACTCATTTGACAGTTCATGAGAGGAATCATACTGGAGATCAACCATTTCAATGTAAAATATTTCATTCGAAATGATAGTTTGAGAGTTCACGAAAGGAGTCAAATAGGAAAGAAACCATTTGTGTGTACTATATGCTCAAAATCTTTCACGGAAAGTAGTAAGTACCCTGAGAGCTCACAAACGCAAGTCATATTACAGCAAGCGCCATACATGATGACGAGCCCGTTCCCATGCGCCTAAACTCATTTTCAAAAAATAACCTCCAGTACAGCTCTTATAAGACATACAAATGCTCTGTACAGAGCCGTATCGTTACTTGTCCCCCAATCCTGTTGGCGTTTGGGATTGTATGAATAATTTATGTTGATTCTGGAAAAATGTCATCGCCTAACAAACAACCAGTCATCAAGAGTGTATCATTAAATAACATTTTAATGAACTGTATTACTACCTATAATACTAAATAACATATGAAAAGAAATGACGAAGAAGTCATGTTCTATAAGCTACCCCATCTATGGTATCTGTAGAGTAAGAAGGGTGAGTGTAGACTCACAGCACTCAGGCCACATGTGACCCATTGACATCCTCCCGGGGAGTTGTCCTCCTAGGTCATCGTCCATCCTATCCTTTCCAGGAAGGTGAAAAGGTCACTAGAAGACATCTTCTCAATATTGGCAGGTGTAGGCCAAGCCTCGCCGAACCCACACTCTCTTTGGCAACCTTGAGTTGTCTCACAGTGGTCTCCGCGAAGGTTTTGGAAGGTGCAGCGATATTACTGTCGTTGCGCAGCTTCTTCAACCTTCTTGGGGTTCCCTCCGTGGAGGTACACAAGTGAGGGAGAATTCCTGCAGGTGCAGCCGGTTCCTTGCCTTTATTCTAGGAGAAGTTCTTGACGCCCGCCGCAGGAAGTGCGGCGGTGGAGGTGATCTACCATGTCCAGCCTCAATCCAAGCGGTAGATTGGGGTGAACATTTCTGTTCACCCTCAGCCACCGCCTCAGATTGAGATGAGCTCTTCTGTCCAGCCTCGGGATTGGTTTTTGTTGTTTCATGTGTGTATCTACGAGTAGCAAGGGAAGAGTTGGTCACCTCTAGCAGAGCTCCGCATCACCAGAGGTAGGCTGATTACAATGAGGTTTCTCCCAGTTCCCCAAGGGGATCGTTTGTTACCGCATATCACCCTGCGACCGTTCAGTTAAGTAGTTAGTTCATTGATATATATATTGTTTCTGAAAGTTAAATGAACTTATATAATTTAACACCAGCTGTCGAAATTTGTGCAAACTAAGTATTAACGGGGCCCTACTTTTTAACGTTCGATTTCTAGTTCTGTCCACTAGATGCGTATATTGCTAGGAATATTTTTAAGTTGGGAAAGAAAGTTTTTGGCTTTCTACTACTCCATCTTGATACAACAAAAAAGGGATGAGGGAATCTTCCAAAGAAAGGAAGGAAGTAATCAATTTGAAAATAAGTAACTCTATACATGGATGTGTAGATCATGCAAAGAAGTAACTTTCAGACACAAACTGAAAGAAAGTCCTCCTGAAACAGCTACTTTCATATAAACATTGAATTACACGAAAGAAAAAAATTCTTTCGAAACAAATACTTCTATATGAACACTGAATTATACAGAAGATACTTTTCTCTACTCAGTTTGTATTTCAAACATTCGTTGTGGAATAAAAATCAGATATCATTCACATGAGTTCTACTTTGAATGAATGGTAATAAACTGCACTTACATGGAACAACGAGACCCTCACTGGTATACACCGATGTTTCGCCTTGCCCCAAGGCTCTTCAGTACCAAATTGGATAACATTATAGAAAATACACACAATTCATTCATGAATTACGATTTTTTAATGTAACGGAATAAGCTTGATCTGCTTATGTCATCGATGACATCGTAATGACGTTCATTGACCTATTTGATTTAATCCCAGCCAAGAGGAATCTTATTTGGTACTGAAAAGCCTTGGGGCAAGTATCTTAAGGCGAAACATCGGTGTATACCAGTGAGGGTAACAGTGTTCCATGTAAGTGCAGTGTATTACCATTCATTCAAAGTAGAACTCATGTGAATGATATCTGATTTTTATTCCACAACGAATGTTGGAAATACAAACTGGAAACAGATTTTCAACGCCAGGAACCCTAAGAAATTGTTTATTCTATGAGAAAATAAACACAAGTGTGAAAGTATATTAGAATAGATAGACTTATAATGAATGAATGTCTAACTGCGGTCTCTTATGACATAACTAATTCTTTTTCCTTTTGCATGATATTTCAATTACAATACCTAGATTTCGTCCACTCTGTGCTTCATTCAAATTGTATAATTTTCGATCATCTATCTGTCTTTCATGAGAAATATAGAGCATTATTAAGTTTTCCAGGAATATTTTATTAAAGCTAGAATGGATCGATTACAGTAATCGGTCAACTCAATGATTCCCTGTTCCTTCAATAAAAAAATGATATTTTTAAAAGCAGTTTCATACTTCCATTTGAAAAATGGTATGTAAACTTCTTCGATTGATTCATAGTATATTGAGATATAAAAGAAATTCTAACGTATGAGATACAAACATCATTTCATTTTATATTGTCTGTGTACAAGTTGCAATAGTCTGCACATTTTTGAAATAAAAATAATTCTTTAATTGACGACTTCTTTATTTTGGGGAAATTCATGTTCACTGAGGATACACTATAAAAACTACAAAAACACACTTTTGTCTATTTTCCACGATAGTTCTATGTGTTTTTATAGTGTATCCTCAGTGAAATAAAAACACATTTTTATGATTATTTAGTGTTGACATCAAATCACACAAATAAAATCATACAAAACACATACATTATTATTATTATTTCAAAGTAAACTTTGTATGTACATTGAGGCTTTTTATTTGAATAAATGATTCAACAGAATTGTAACGGCGAAAAAAATCAATTCCATTATGAATCATCTGGAATATATTCTTTGTCAGTTCAAATTTAGCACTTTTTTGCTTCCTATAACGTCAAAAACTTGTAGATCTGAGGATATCATTGCCTCAATTGATAAATAATAATTATAAAACCATCGAAGTGAGTTATTGTGTAATTGGGTGGCCATAAAATAATTTTGAAATACTCAAAATTTCTCAGAATCCAATCATTGTATAGGTAAGCAGATAAACCGATTTTTAAAAACAGGTATTCTAAAATGACCAATCACATTCAATTAGATTTCATATAAATTGAAGGTCATTTCAGAGTGAGGTCAGTTCTGATTGAAAATTGTTATCATTATACTGGTTTATATATTTAGTATATGCAGATAACTTCCTCTCCTTATCGACTTTGAGAATGGATATCAGTAAATACGGAATGACAATTGAGAAAACCGATGAAGCTGTTTCTGATAAAGTCACTCCCGAATTAAATTTAGTAAAAGTTGAACCACAAGAAGTTGAAATGTTTAGTAAGTCCGATAGTGATTCGTACTCTATGGATTACCACGATAGTATGGAAGACATTATTGATAAACAGGTAAAAATTGAACGTGATGATAAAATTGACCTTTGCTACGAAGATATCAAAACGGAGATCGTGGATAAAGATAACGTGACCAACGATATTCGCAATGACGACATGACTCAAGACAACAAGTTGGTGCAAGTTGCTGATTCATATTCTATAGATTACCACGATGATATGGACAACATTAGTGATGGGAAAAAAATTAAATGTGAAGTTGAAATCGACCTTGTCTACGAAAATATAAAAAAGGAAATCGTAAAAGAGGATAACGCGACTGACAATATTGGCGATCCCGACATGACTCAAGATGTCAAGTTGCTGCAAAGTGATGTCATGAAAGTTCAGGAGCGGATACATACTGAAAAAAATTCGTTTCAATGCACAATGTGTTCAGAATTTTTCATTCAACATCATGATTTGAAAGTTCACGAAGAGAGTCATTCTGGAAATGGACCATTTCAGTGTGAAATATGTTTGAAAGTTTTCACGAGAGGTGATGCATTGAAAACTCATAAACGAACTCATACTGGAGAAAAATCATTTCAATGCACTTTCTGTTCAAAATCTTTCACTAGAAAATATCATTTGAGGGTTCACGAACGAAGCCATACAGGAGAAAAACCGTTTCAGTGTAAAATCTGTTTGAAAGCTTTTACGAGAGGTGATATTTTGAAAATTCATGAACGAAATCATACTGGTGAAAGACCGTTTCAATGCACAATCTGTTCAAAATCTTTCAGTCAAAAAAATAGTTTGAAGTTTCACGAAAGGAGCCATACTGGAGAGAAGCCATTCATGTGTACGGTCTGTTCAAAATCTTTCACGCGAAATAGTACTCTGAAAGTTCACAAAAAGAGCCATATTACCGTTGAATAATTAGTTCATTGCGGTCTGTATTATATCTAAAAATAAATTGAGTTGATGTAATTAATCACTAGTTCGTACACTGTTTTTTTGAAATCAATTATTTTCATTTCAGTTTTATTTTGCATTTTCTTCTCTTCTATTACTCCTAGGTTATTGATATATAATATGATTTGCAAAATGTAGAGAGAACTTTCGAAAGCTAAGCATTAACGGGTTCTTACTTTTCATCGTATAATTTCTAGTTCTGACTACTAGATGCGTATATTACTCGGAACATGTTTAGATTGCATGTGAGACGAATTCATAAGTTCATTAATGTGTAAATGAAATAGGCTTTTCCGATTACTTCAGTAGTCTAGATACCAAACTAGATAATAATTTTATCTCATCTGTCCATAAGTGTAATGATGGTAGAGAATGTTGTAAGACATCAAATTGAAATCACGAAATCCACCTTACTATGAATTAACATAAATTTTATAAAAGGGATATTTCTTAGGAGGGCTCACGAAAAAAGGTCAGGGTTACCTGATCAGGTTGGAGAAATCAGTAAAACTTGTAGATTTGAGGCCGTTGCCACTGAAATAGCAATCGGTTATTTCAAATCGAGTACAGTAGTCGGTCATCCTGGTGATTATTCTCAAAAGCAGGTTCTACATAAGTAATTTTTTGAAATGAGGTTTGTAAATTTCATCAATTAATTGAAAACGAAAATCTATTGTTTTCCGAAATATCAACCACTTAAGAAAGCTGAGTATCAATCGTGGACTAGAGGACTGGACGAGATCACAATGAAAATACTACAAATCATTTCAAGATTCATTGAAATGAAAGTTGTTTTCACAAATTTCCTTCAATTTTTCCATCCTCGAGTTGACGACCAGTTTTGTCCATGTTGACAAAAATATAGCTAGAATATGATTCGATAATCTGTCTTAAGGGGTCGAAGTTTTAGTAGTTGTACTCCATCACCCTTTCATGACTATTCCTGTCATGCCACAAGAGAAATCTCTTGCTGGTTACTTGTATGCCAAACTCAAATTGAGTACCACCTCACTCTTCCATTGCTTTGGTGGCATTAGAATACCCCTGTCAGGTGAGTCTTCAATAATGTACCTTGTGATACCTTCCAAACCCCAACAAAACTGTGATAATCCCCTTCACCAGAAGGAGAAATTTGTACGATTCAACGTTACTTTCCCTCAATGGTGAGGTCATTCCATTTGGAACGGAGGTGAAATATCTTGAAATTGTCCTTGATAAAAAACTCACCTGGAACGCTCACTTGGAAAAAGTTTTACACAAAGCCAGACTGTCCTTATGAACATGTCGAAGGATTTGTGGTATAACTTGGGGTTTGGGTTCCAAACAAATCCATTGGAATTATGTGATGATTGTCAGACCAACTATCACTTATGGAGCAATTAACTGGTAGCCGAAGGCCACAAATAAATTTAATGCACAGTACAACAGACTGCTGGTTAACACTGGAACTCACAGCATTCTGGGAATGACTTCTGACTTCATGTCACCAACTGTCAACATCGAACTGCCTCCATGGAACTGCCTTATACAGTACACTTCCCGAGTAGAGAGGACTGGATCCTCCGGGAGAAGTCAATATTAAGAGCAGATAGTTATTGGTTCACAGATGGATCAAAAACCCTTCAGATTCTGGTATAGGTATTTTCAGTCGCAGGACAGAGACATCAACCTGCCTAGAAACCAATGCGGAAATTTACGTTATTGAATTGTGTGCGGAGGGGGTGCTGCAAGCAGCTTCATCGGACCAGAACCTGTCATTGGCATTGCTTTAGGCTTTCCTAAACAAACATTGCAAGAACATTTATGGAATTCTGGCAGAGTCTTCCAGGATTGGCTCACTCCAAGGCGTTTATTCACCCTTCGAAGCTTGATATGCAGAGACTTGGACTTTCGAAAGACAGTGTGTGTCGCCTCCATTTGGAAAATGATGAAATAGCAGAGCACATACTTTGTGCCTGCCCCGCTGGTGACCGAATCAGGTTTACTGAGTTTGGTAGAGCCGTACTCTTACCATCTGACCTGCAAGACCACTCATCATACAAACTAACCCGCTTCATTTAGAAGCTAGATTCATTTAGTCGAGTGTGAATAAGTGTGAGCCACAATAAACCATTGTGGTTCACGGTGGGAGGTTGAATAGACCCATTCACTTTTGATCTAACCTAACCTCATAAATGAAGGCCGCCTCCTAAGGTGTGGGTATCCATGCCAAAAGGGTATATGACTCTGGACCCACTGATTGTCACTAACGGAACCTTAGAAATAGCGGTTGTCTCTTCGTCGTAGAAAATCTTGTCACGATATTACAGGAATCTTCCGAGATGGACCACCTTTTCCTATTTACTCGTGGAACCCTCTATGAATTATGAAGTAATCAAATAATACGACCCTTAGTCTATAGACGATTTGGGTAACCTCCAACTGTTACCCCTGTAACAACCTAGATGAAAAGGGTATATGACTCTGGACCCACTGATTGTCACTAACGGAACCTTAGAAATAGCGGTTGTCTCTTCGTCGTAGAAAATCTTGTCACGATATTACAGGAATCTTCCGAGATGGACCACCTTTTCCTAGTTACTCGTGGAACCCTCTATGAATTATGAAGTAATCAAATAATACGACCCTCAGTCTATAAACGAATTGGGTAACCTCCAACTGTTACCCCTGTAACAACCTAGATGGTGCAGCCAGGAAGCGAGCTATCGTCTCCTCAAAAGCGAGGATATCTTATGAATCTGCCTTGCACTAAATTTTTGACCAACAGAAACCGTATCTGCGCCAGAAAAGGAAACAATTTCCTCTCGGGCCAGAAGGCAAACGCTCATGCTCCAACAACGATTCACCCAATCCAGAGTCGAAATATATCGTCATGTATAACTGACCTACCGATAAAGGAAGCTTGTTGCGGTCATTAAAGTGGGAATATTGCATCTCGAACGTTCAGTAATATCATTATCGATCAATCTACTGAAATCAGTATACTATTACGGCTTCTGTGGAAGATGTCCCAGAAGATCAGGAGCTGCATTTTCTGGCCTGAATGGTTTCAGATCACCTGTAAGGACCAGTAGAGTGTCTTTTGCCTGGTTTTAAAGTTAGTGCCCTGCAGTCATGGGATGAAGTCTCCCTGGAGTGCAGCAAAGGAGACCTACTTCTAAAGTCACACGTTTGTGTTGCTTAGCTTTATGACGAAGCTAGTCATAGAATGACCGACACCGTTGATCAGATCCTCGCTTGTTTGATGAAAATGTAGCCTAGTCAACCATGGATTATTTTTCACAAGGAAATTCATCGGGTTGCACAAGGAAGGTCGAACAGACCTTCTATAACATCTATACTTATAAATGCGAAAGTCACTCACTGGACACTCATTCATCTCTATTTCTCCGTAATGGTAAGTCCTAGGAAGCTAACATTTGATATATAGGTGCTTCTTAGGTCTCAGATGCGCAGTAAAAAAGGATTTTCAAATATTCCAACTGAGGTTCCCCACTCACCATACAAACTAATCGGCTTCCTTAAGAAGCTGGGTTTATTTTGTCGAATGTGAATAGGTGTGAACCACAATAAACTCTTGCGGGTTGCGGTAGAGGGTCGAATAGACCCACTCACTTTAGACCTTACCTAACCTAACCCCCCGTGGGGTAAAGAGGCGCGGTTACATATGAACATTAACTTTTTATAACTGTTTCTCTCATTTTATGTTGTAGAGGTGCAATGAGAAAGGATTTTCAAATATTCCGACCGAGAAAAAAGGGGCGTTCACAAAATGAAGTTATCTTTTCATTTTATGTGTAGGTTCATTTTATGTTGTAGGTGTGCGATAAGGAAGGATTTTTGAATATTTCAACTGGGGCCCCCCTACTGGGGATGAAAAGGGAGCGTTTACATATGAAAATTACCTTTTCATCACTGTTTCCCCGTACCG